ACTGTATGATATTAGGAGGTGGGGACTTTGGGAGGTGAAAAAAGTCATGAGGGTGGAGCCCTCATGAATGGAATTAGCGCCCTTATGAAAGAAACCACAGAAAGCTTCCTTGCCCCTTCTGCTGTGTGAGAACGCAGGGAGATGGCCATCTATGAAACAGGAAGCAATTTCTCACCAGATACCACATCTGCTGGTGCCTTGATCTTTGACTTCCCACCCTCTAGAACTGTGAGAAAAGAATTTCTATTGTTTATAAAGCACCCAGTCTATGGTATTCTTATATACCAGCCCAAACAAACTGACACAATTTCCTTGTTGATCTTCTGTTTAGTTGTTCTATCCATTGTTGAAAGTAGAGTACTGAAGTTGCCTGCTGTTATTGTTCAGTTGTCTATTTCTCCCTTCAATTCTGTTAGTTTTTGTTTCATGTATTTTGTGGGTCTGTTGTTAGGTGCTAAACACACTTCATCAAGTGTCTGAGTACATCAATTTGCCCTTCTGCCAACACTCTCAGAATTAGCCTTTGAATCAGCAAGAATAATTGTGATATGTAATGCTTAACATTTAGGAGTAATGAACGCCTTATGTTCTCCTCAATCAGAGATGGCATCTTTCCGGATGACTGGTTGGTGAATATGTCTTATCTGGACATAGATGTTCTTTGAAAAATAAATCCAAAGAACTCTTGAAAATTAAATGATTTTCTCCTGGTACATATTTTTCTCCCCCTTTGAGGAAAATGAGCCAATCTTGACATTTTTCCTAATTTTTTTTAAGTTTCCCAGAGGAATAAAATTATAATCAATAAATTAAAGTCAAATTTCTGAGACCTTTACTGATTTTGGACAACAATGTTACCTTCAGTCCTTGACAGAAAAGTTAGTCTTGCTTTTAAGTAGTAATCTCCCAGAGAGTGCACAGACCTGGAAGGTCTGTAAGAACACATTTCTACAGACTTGCTGTGGTCAGGGCACCAGTAATGAGGCATGTATGCTAAGATGTATCCAGTGTGCCCCGGCCTTTGAAAAGCTATATCCTAGCATAATAAGAAGGTTTAAAAAAATAAAACGAATAGTTTGATAAGGATTGTGACAGCATAAACAGGTGATACCAGAGTTAGGACAAAGTGCTGGATGGAGAAGACATGCCTCCCCAACAGGGCATGATAATGGCTCTTTTCAAAACTACAAACTCTAGAATCAAGGCTGGTTGGTCAATGTTGGGTACAGCATAGAGACTAACTTGACACCATGGGGCTGCATATGGGTGTGCAGGAGTTACAGATCATTCCAATTCACTCTCACTTACTGCCCTACAGCAATGTTTCTTAAAGTATGGTCTGGTGCCCGCTGGGTGACTTTGAAAGACTTCCTGATTCCCAAATGCAAGTGCTTCCCTCAGTTCAGGCCAACTTCCCTGGTGGCTCAGACGGTAAAGAGTCTGCCTGCAGTGAGGGAGACCAGGGTTTGATCCCTGGGTCAGGAAGATGCCCTAGAGAAGGGAATGGCAACCCACTGCAGTATTCTTGCCTGGAGAATCCCCTGGATGGAGGAGCCTGGCAGGCTACAGTCCATGCAGTCACAAAGAGCCGGACACGACTGAGTGACTTCACTTTCTTTCTTTCTCTCAGTTCTTACAGGAAAATGGAGATTCATTCCATAGACTTTCAGTTATATGCATGGCCTAAAACTAAGCGGGTTATTAGGAATCACTAAAATTTTGCATTTTTCTAAAACCCTGGTTTTGTCTGCTGTCATCAGAACTGGCTGTCGCATACCACATGGCCATGATGCAATGTCCAACACAGAGAGGAGGAGTTCCTGCCACTTCAGAAGGACAATTTCTTTCTAGTGCTTCATGGCTCCCAGGGCTTTCAATTGCTGCTATCTTTGTGTTCATTAACATAATTGTAGAACTCTTCTTAGGGTTTATCTTTGTTAATCTTTCTTCTCCTAATTGCTACATTGCCACTACTTTGATACTTATTTTGTTCCTCTCTAATTCTTTGTTATCACTGAGTTCTTTAACTGCTGGAAAAAGAGAAGAGATGATGTGGGTGGGCTGTAGGATCTTGTTTTGCTCTGCCCTGAAAGTCTAAGAAGTATTGCCCTAGAAGAACTCTTTGGTCTCAGCAGGCTGGCCCACTAATGATGCTCTGAACAACCCCTACACTCAAGAAATTATCTCTGAGCCTCTGTTTAAATCGCTCCATTCCCACCACCTCCTTTCAGTTGTCCCTGATGCCAAATCATTGTGAGTCTCCCCCTCTCGTGAGTCATAACCTTGCTTTGCTCTACTGACTACTAGTCATAGGGGGTCATAAAGCCACGGGATATCTTGAATCACTGAGAGGCTATCTAACTCTTGAATTGTTACCTATCTTTTGAAGTATTTTGTATTTATATTTCCATTAAAATAAAAGTATCCTGAGAGTACTGACCAAGTTTGACATCTATAGATCTTGTAGAGCAGAATGAAGTGCCCACAGTACAGAAGCTAGTTACAGAGGTTCTTTACTAGGCTCCTGTGGTCTGATCTGAGGGTTGGGAGGGAGCATAAGTGGACACAGAGTCTATTGGACAACATCCCTCAGCAATCCTCCAGGTTCCCAGACCCCTATTCGTGAAGTCTGAGGTGGCATCTGCTTCAGCTACAGACAGAAGGCTGACAGTGGCTTTTGACAGTGGACGTGGGGTTGGAGATTCCTGATCATGCAACAAACAAGCAGGCATGTGAGCATGAGAGGGCCCTTGGTTTTCAGGCATAGCTGCTGCTGCTTTCTCTTCATCTAACTCCTAGGCTTGCTTAAATCGCCTTCTGGCCACCTTGAATAGCAACCAGGAGACTCCTGAGATGTACAGGAATGAATATCTGCCTTCCCCTGCCCCAGCCTGTTCCAGCGCGGGTTAGGGCCCCATTTGGGATCCTCCTGTCTTTCTTGGCCTTGACTCAGTATGTGTTGTCCCTTTGTTGCCTGGTTCTGGTTTCTGAGGAGGTTCAGGCCCTAAGTCCTTTGCCATAAGCTGTGATTACTGATCTCTAGATGGCTAGTCACTAGCCTTTATGATTCTTATCCAAAGTGTTTTTTTTTTATCAATATTCATGAATAATTCTAGCCATGACACAGGACATGGAAAGATTCTGAAATCTCACTTAAAAGAAATGCTGATCTTAGCTAGAAGGAGGTGCTCCTCTGTCTTATGTCTAGAATATTATAATAGTTATACCCTAGACTTTGAGCCTTGTGGTTTTCATAGCTTGGCTGTTGTTGTTTTAGTTACTGAGTCGTGTCCAACCCTTTGCGACCCCATGGACTGTAGCCCACCAGGCTCCTCTGTCCATGGGGTTTCCCAGGCAAGAATACTAGTGTGGGTTGCCATTTCCTTCTCCGTGGGATCTTCCAGACCTAAGGATCAAGCTCTTATCTCCTGCAGTGGTAGGCAGATTCTTTACCACTGAGCCACCTGGAAGCCCTCATAGTTTGGTACTGTGGACTTGCTCACTTTTCAGACAATGACCTGTTAGATTAAATCACTGAACAATAATACACAGTAAGGGTAGGTGATGAAGGGGTGGCCCAAAAAAGAGGAAATCAAATCCAACCAGTGAGGAGCTAGATGATGGCTGGTCCAGAGTATTTACTGCTTATGATTCCAGCGAATCAATCAATGTTAAGAAATCATCTCCCTCCGTGACCATAAACCATGACCATGGAAGTCTCAAAATTTGACAGATTTGCAGAAGAATTGATGACTCAAAATCAAAACAGCCTACTACCTCTCCTACAAAAATAAAGATCACTACTTGGCTCAAAACAGTGACTGTCTTCATCAGGAATTCAGATCAACTACCTGGACAGTTTCAGTTTTTATATTCTTATAGAATAAGGACAAATGGGCTTCTCTGAGTGATTTTGCATTATTAGAAATTGTTCAAGAGGGAAGAATCATTAAATCTTCTCTGAGATAATGAAGTAACAAAAAATGTATCCTGGCTATTGTGGTACCATTTTGATATTTTATTGAGTTGCTATTGTTTTCCATTACCGTAACCACAGATTCAAGGCTACAGAATCAATCTCACTGCTGAATAACACCACAGGATCCTCCCTGAACTAATTTTAAAGCACATTCCTTTGAATCTTCAAAACCAAATTCTTCTGCAACTGGAACTGGGGTTAAATTTAGGTCAACAAGAATTTCATAAAAGCAAAAAACCCTTTAAAGTTTGCATTAAAAATTCATGTGTCTAACTGAACAGCCTTAGTTGGGTGATGATAATAAGTATTACCAAAAGTTCGTTTCACTTCTGGGGGCTTTCTCACAAGAAGCTTCTGTTGCTTCATCCCAGACATATTGGAATATTTTATCTCAGCTTGGCAATGCAAGCAGTACTGAGTAAAATGACACTCAGTCATCAGTTCATTTCATCCTGTCGTAATGAATACTGAGTGTGTATGGCTTCAGATCAGTTCCTGCTTATGTCACTTTCTCCTCATCCAGGTTCCTGGATTTACTCTATGGTCATAGAATCTGTTGTGTTTTGTTCTCACTCCTTTATTCTTTCATATAACTATGCTGAAAACACTGGATACTGTTCTGTTCTTTTGACTTGAAACAGCTCCCCTCTCTCCACTATAAAGGAACCTTATCAGCAGAAGTTACTTGTAAATGCCCTGTTAAGTCAGCATCAGTGTGACACAGTAGCATTGCCATCATCACGTGTGAGGCTGTCTCACTAAGAAGGTGACTAGGAAGAGGAAGGCAGGCAAACATCCTCAGTGGCCGTCTGACTGATCTGGGAATAAGACAGGCCTCAAAGTTTGGTTTACATACCAGAAAACCTTTGTGCCAGAAGCACTGGTCTAACGTGAGAGTGCCAATACTTAGTAAACACTTCTGGAATTCCAGACTTCTTCCATGGGAGGGTTTCATAAACCATTTTTATAGTGGTCTTTTTGAGACAAAGGAAATAGGTTTTCACTCACTTTTTTCTTCCAACTACTGTTCAGCTTTGGGGACATACTTCAGTTCACTTTTAATGTTCTGGATCTCCGATAGGTTGACCGCAGGTCCTGGAAGTTTCTTAGCTCCTGGAATTGGCTTCTTCTCCTCTTCCGAAGCGGGAGGAGCACCCTAAAGAAAAAATAAAAAGAGAAAGATTTAGCTCACTGAAGAAGACATATGGTCTCTCTGGGTCATGGACATGAAGCCGAAAAAAATTAAAGCAAAAATAACATCAGTATAATTCTAGCAGACTGACTTTTTCTTGTGCTGTTGTGATCCCCTCAGAGTTTCAAGAAGATCTCGTGCAATTTATAGAGGAATAAGGCTGGAAGAAAAACACAAGTGACTTCCCCATGACTTAGAAAATACAAGAGTACTATGTCTGATACAGTGTCTGATAACTCAAAAATTACCACTAGTGAAAAGGATTTATGTTTCCAAGAGAAGCATCTTACAAAACCAAATTTAATCTAGTGGGAAAGAAACCACCTTGCTGGGAAAAATTGAAGGCAGAAGGAGAAAAGGCAACAGAGGATGAGATGGTTGGATGGCATCACCAATTCAATGTACATGAACTTGGGCAAACTCTGGGAGATGCTGAGGGACAGGGAAGCCTGGTGTGCTGCAGTCCATGGGGTTGCGAAGAGTCAGACATGACTGAGCAACTGAACGACAACAAAGAATCCACCTGCCAATGCAGGAGACACAATAGACTCAGATTCAATCGCTGGGTCAGAAGATCCCTTGGAGTAGGAAATGGCAACCCACTCCAGTAATTCTTGCCTGGAGAATCTCATGGATAGAGGAGCCTGGTGGGCTACAATCCATAGGGTCGCAAAGAGTCAGACACAGCTGAGCCACTGAGCATACAGGTGCACACGCACACACACACACACACACACATCATAATATCAGAAGATGCTTGAAAGGCAGAGTTTGTAGACTGTTAGTACACAGTCACCTCTAACAATGACTTGGTCCAGGAGTTTTCTGTTTTTTTGTTTGGGGCACATTGACTGCCAGCCTTTGTTCCAATGATGTTTCTGGGGCACAGAAACAAACTGAAACTGACATAAGCAAAACCTCTTTGAATCTGGATGGGAGAGGATGCAGTGGCAGAGGAGGGCTCTCCCCTCCTACTTTGGAAAGTATTTTACATTTTCTGTTTTTCTGTTGTGGCTTTAGAGCAGGAACACATTCTATACTTGTTTTGGTGGCTCCTCCAACTACTGGTAGGGGCTTCCCTGGTAGCTCAATGAGTAAAGAATCCGCCAGCAATCCAGGAGACCCCAGTTTGATTCCTGGGTCGGGAAGATTGACTGGAGAAGGGATAGGCTACCCACTCCAGTATTCTTGGGCTTCCCTTGTGGCTCAGCTGGTAAAGAATCAGCCTGCAATGTGGGAGACCTGGGCTCGATCCCTAGATGGGACGATCCCCTGGAGAAGGGAAACACTACCCACTCCAGTATTCTGGCCTGGAGAATTCCATGTACAGTATAGTCCATGGGGTCGCAAAGAGTTGGACACGACTGAGTGACGTTCACTTTCACCAGTTACTGGTACAGAAGCGCACAGGCACACTTGTGGATAGCTGTTTAGCTGATTAATCCTGAAAATGTCCTATCGTGACAAATCTATGCCTCTATGTACACACACCAAACATACAGATTAACAGGGGCTGTAAAACAGTAAGATCCATTGCTGTTCGTGGCTCCTAGGACCCCGACTAAGTAGTGCAGATGGTTGCTGGTTAGCTCCTTCCTCCTATTTGCTAGCGGTGAGGCGCCTAGTCTCCGGGGCCCTGGACTGGAGGTGTTGGAGGAACATTTGATCTCTGTGGCAGCCACGAGAGCACGCCTCTCGGATCAGTTTCCTGCAGGGAGGATAATTGAATGACAGCCCCAGCTGCTTTGCCCTGGGACCCGCCCATCACCATGCTGAGGTCACACTTCCCACGGCTGCTCGTGGCCAATGGCTGAGCGTCATAGGATCCGAAGGCGGGCTTGCTTCTGGGAGACCTGGGCCTCCTCTGGGAAGGACTCGAGAATTTTCCTGAGAACAGCACTGTTGCCTAGGTCACTTCAGCCCCACTCTCCGCCCCACAATCCTTCATCTGCATCACGGTCTCATGTTTCTCACGACCGTCTCATGTTTCCTGACAAGTGTTTTCCCCAGTAAATATTTTGCCCGTCAAATCTCCTCTTTGGGTCTGCTTCTTGGAGGACCAGACTAACATAGGCTCTCTGTGAGCCTGGCAGAGCTCCACCTGCTGGGCCAGCAACTGAGTGAACCGGTTCAGTTATGGGAAAAAGAGTAAGAAAGCGCACGCTTGTCTCAGGTTCCAGCCCTGGGCCGTACGTGTGCCAGCCACGTATCCAAAAGTGTGCCAGTCCTGTAACTCGGGTAGTAAAGCCCATGCTGCGCTTTAGCCCCCATCGGGCTCCTACATCTGGTTCTCGAATTGTCTGAACCCTAAAGGGAAAGGGAAGAAAGCTTCCCAGACTTCAGCCACTTACGTGGTGCATGTACAGAAACGCTTTTAAATTGTTTATTTAAAGGCTGAGTAGAAATATAAAATAGTGAGGTGCTTGTCTTCTCCTATAGGCTAGTGGTTTTTCCTCTGGTCATTTTCTTGGATTCTGGCACAGTGCTAATGAAATAGCTAACGTTTCACCCATACGAAATGATAGAGTCATGCAACGTCAACTCTACCTTTGTAAATACCTGCAGAATGTTGTTTCCCCGAGTCTTTGTACAGAGCCATAGGCTCAGCTTCCTTGCATCCTTTGCACACATCCATCATTTATAAATGCATATTTAGAAGCAGTAGATAAAACTGTTAAAGCTCCACCTGGAGGACAAGGTATTCTGAAACCTTCTTTGTTAGGCTTTTGAAAAGAAATTTTTAACAAGGCTGTAAGGTGTTCTTTTTAGAAAATATATGTGTAGTGGTGAGATGAAAATTGTTTCCTCACTTATAAACATTCCCATGGTTGTTAGGTGGATAGAGCTTAATACAGAAGCATGAAGGAGAAAAATCTTTCTAATTCCTTCTGTTAAGTTCCCGGATGAGTCACAATTTCTAATTTCAAAATGTGCTATATTACCACAATTAACACCTAAAGCCGATGTGTACAGTTATGTGTCTGGGTGCAAAGATTTATTGTGTGAACATACACAGTTAAAGGATGAAAATATTGGACATTAGGCATTTTCCTGTAAATTTATTAAAACCTCAGTGCACTGTGATTTTTATTTATCAAGGTAAAACTTTTAGCTCTTGATTTGGTAGGCTCACAAATAATGGAAAGTTATAAGTGGATATATTTTAAAAGTAGGTTTTAAGACACTGACTCAGGAAGGGGTTAGTAGTGGAAGTCGAATCTTCTCTCATCTTTAAAAAAATAATGCGAGTCAGATTCCTTTTTTTTCTATGAATTTGTTATCATAAGAATTATAATACATTAAGGCATGAACAGGCAGGGTCCAGATGGCGCCATTTGGCTGAGTACGCTCTCTTTTCTTTTGTAAGTAGATATTTGAATTGAGAAAGAACATGGAAGATATTCTTTGGTTTTAGATAAAACTTGAGAGACAGCTTATCAACCTCCATGCCAGTCCCAGTTTCAGGAATGGCTATTGTCAAACAGAAATGTCCCTTTGGGGGGTGACAGAGTATTTGTAAAATTGAGCAAAATGATGAACCATCTTCCAGCTATCTCACCTTCCTCTTCCTCTTTACTGCCAGGTGCCCTCACTGAATTTTCCCCTAAATTATCTTCTGTACAACACTACAGCCAGATGTGCTCATTATGCTCAACCACTGAAGACTGAATAATAACGGCAAGCGCACTACTAACACATTGAATCCTCACGTCAGTCTTCAATCCACAACCATTATTATCCCTGCTTTGCAGTTGAGGAAACTGAGGCACAAGACTGGGGGGAGGGGTAAGAAACTTGCCCATGGCCTCACAGCTAGAAAGTAGTGAGACCAGAATTCAATAGTGTGTTTGCATCATGTAAAGAGACCAGGTGGAGGGGGAAATAATGAACAGAAAATCCCAATGTGCTACTTTGTGGCTTGATAATGATGGAATTTGAGTCAAAAGTAAGATTTGGGAGACAGAGTAGGGGCTTGTCAGTATCCTTCAGATCACTTTAATCAAGCAGCTGCATTGTCTTAGGCAAAAGACCAGCCCAGCTTCTTAAGATCTGGTTGTAAAGCTTCTGTGTCAGGCACGCGCCAAGCTCTGGCTGGGCCGAGCAGATGGAGAGCACACTCCAGCTCTGCAAGCAGAACAAGGGCTCACAGAGACCGTAGGTGGGTGGGAGGCCCAGCCAGTGCTCACAGGCCTTGTCACATGTGCCATCCTGGCTTCCTGCTAGGGTCCCTCCTCTTCTTTACATCTGAGGTGGTGGCAGAATTGAGATGGGGGAGTTCCTGGCTGTGACCGAGGTGGCCTGTTCTGTTCAGGGATAGTATATTATGCCCTCGACTTTAGACAGTAGTTATCTTAATGCAAAGCTAGACAATGAATCCTAAATCTTAGAAAGTGAGCAATTCCAAGGTTTTAAACTGGATAGTAGTAGAAAAGCGGGGCTGTACAGGTTAGTTGAATTCAGATTCCATTATCCCATTCAAACTATGTGACAAAAGGTGGCTCGGGCCTTGTAGCCAAGCCAAGCACCTAACTGTTCCCCTGCAATACTGTTTTCATGAGACCCTTACTCCAATGTTCAGCCCAGATACCGCCCCTCCCAAAGATCCCACAAGCTCTTACAGTAAGGGATACCACCCTTCGCCAGCCTCCCAATCCATGAGCCCCACGAAAAAGATGTAGCTCAATCAGGAAACATTCCTGGGGTCTCCGGATCTCTGTGGATACCTCGCTCCCTCTATCCCACAAAGCATGTCAGTTGGCCATTTGTTTATGTGGTTGGTCATAAAATAGGTTTTCAAACCCAGGCTATTATCAGGCTTTAGCTATTTCGGAATGTGCTAGAACCATCAGACTGGAAACAAGGCAAGAGTAAAAGCAGATTTCCTAACTGGGACACTCATGTGGAGAGAGTACCAGATGTAAAGAAGTGAAGGCCATGTCTACCACAGAGGAAGATGAGGGGCACGCCTCCAAAACAACAGTCATATCAGTCAATTTAGTGAGAAAAGAGCGTCAAGCTACCTTGCAGCTGATCGCCAGACACAGTGACAGACACAGCTTAGGAGGAAGCACAGGAAGAAAACCGAATTAATTAAGAAATTAAGAAAAACAGATGAATGGAGATGTGGGAAGAATGCCTTTCTGCCCTCCCTTCCACCTCCCTGGGCTATTTTCTTACAACATGCAAAATAATAGGCCCAGGAATCCTTCATAAAAATTGGATAATTCAGTCAGTCAGTGAACAGTCATTTACTGAATACCTGCTAGATTATGCCATGTCCATTATATCACTGACTCTTTCCTCACAGAGACCCTTGGAGAAATGCGGGGGATCGTATTTTGCAAACAGAGGTTCAAAAGGAGAGTTCATGATCATAAGCTAACTGGTGGCCAGATTAGCAGCAGCAAAACTTAAAATTATCTACCATTAAATCAGAGTAGGGCTGGATTTTTTCAGCTTTTATGTTCAAAATGTTACTCATCAAGGGTGACTGAAATTCCAGAACTTAGTAATGTCACTCAAAGATTCTATCTCCTTTCAAAAATTATCTTTCTCTTTATAGGGGGCTGGAACCACTAATTTAGGACCACATCAGTAATTATTTATGAGAAAGAAAAAGGTTAGATGCAGGATAACCAAAGTTTTATTAGGAAATTTTGAAATGCTGATTCTTTTGGACCAAATACTAAAAAGGTCACCTACAAAAGTTTAAAGAAGTCTTTTCATTTTTTAAAAAACAAAATACAGTTTGCAGTGCTCTGTGACTTTATATATTGCTCCAAGACCTTAACTGTTTTTTCAGACTCAGACCTTCCAAGTTTCATCAGTAAAGTCACAATTGAGGAAAGATATAAACATTTGGATGGGGAACTATTCTCTATTATTTGTACCCATGATGAATTTTAAAAAGCCTCCATTTTAGAAGACTGGGTATTTGAATTTGGAGGAAAGGTAAAGAATTGGAGGGGGTAAATACAGAAATTGATAGACTCCTTTGCAGATTTCTTTTTTCAAAGGAAGTATCCAGGGATTGGGGCTTTCTGTTTGAATCCACAAGTAATTTAATGTGCTTATTACCTGCATTCCCACCGGGGTTCATTGCTCATCAGAAGCTGTACTAAGTGTATCCTGCTCAATTCAATAAAAGCTTTGGAGTGAAAACTTACCAAGCTCACGACTACTACTGAACCAAGAGCATCTGAGAGGTTCCACTTCCCCCTACATATATACATACACAGACACACACACACACACACACACACACACACACACACACACAAGCAGACACACAAGCTGACATACACAATGGATAAATAAACTAGATGCCAAACTCAGCATCTTCAAGTACCTGGGCCAGGCACTTAGAGTCAGCTGAAGTGAAGTGTTTCAGTGGCGGACTGAGCAAGAAAGCCAAAGAAATGTGTGTTCTATGTGATGACTCCTTGACCCACATCCACTTGTGCCCTCCTCCTCCTGGAAGGCTGGCCCTCGCCTTGCCCCTGGGCCCTGTCTAGTCGGGATATTGGAGGAGAAAGATGGTACTGAGTTGCCAGCTCAGTTTTCCTCACCTCCTCCATTTCCGGAGTACATTCTTTTCTTCTGGGGGGTTGCCCAGCTCCTGGCCGAAAGGCTCCCATTGGGATATTGATATTTGCCTAAAAGAGAAAGCAGGGAAGATTTCGCTTAAGAGAAGTAAGAAACGGCAATAACATTCTGAGAAGTAATTATTGTCAGGCAAAACAAATCTGAAAAGTACATCTTTAAAGCTTTTCACCTCCAGAAAATTGCTATAATGACAGTACAAAAATATGCAAAGGATAATTTGACTTCCATTTATTCCACATTTGTGGTACTCATCCTTAGGTCTGTGCAGTGATTTCATAGCTCCCTACTGGCTGAAAGAATTGGAAGACAGTTTGTTCTGGCTGTTGCCCTCCTGTGGTACTTAATATTTTCTGCTCTCTGGGATGAGGAAGGAACACATAATTCTAGGAGAGGAGGCAATGGCATTTGCACAAACCATCCCACACCTTAGTCCTCCTTCAGCTGCCTTCAGCTTTACCACAGGAGGAGGGCAATGACACCTCCTAAGCCACCTCCTCCTTCCCATAACGTCCTATGGCTATTCTCACACTTCCTTAGGTCTCTGTAATTGACATTCTTTTACCTTCTCCCTGACACACCACTGTGTGGATCAGTGCATGAGGAAAGTGCTGGAAAGTCAAGTTCATTGGTATCACAATTCATAGATTCTTCTCCTTCAAGATGACATACTAACTTCCATCTATTAGTAAAAATAAAATACCTTCTAGAACACACTAAATATGCTAAACATTAAATTATGTAAGGAAAATAAATGACTCAGTAATTCAGACTTGGGAAAAAGAATATGTAAATTTGAATTTTGTGCATATTTCATCTGTTATCAAAAGGCAAGAATGTTTAATGTAGACCAAAAACATCTTTACCCAGGAGTATCACTCATATAAAACAAGCATTAAGACTTTTCTTTAAGGCAGAATGTATTTTTTCCACTTGAGATAAAAGTGTTGCCTTATGAGTAATTGGATATGTGGGCTTGAAAAATTGAAGTTGCACTTTGATGTTATGAATGAAAATGATGCCTGAGCAAAGGGAGCAAAATATTTTGTTACCTTATGACTCAATTTAGACAATTTTGGTACCACAGCAAACGGAATCATTAGGAAGTGTGGTGTTTGAAACTGCCTGATATGAGTTCTGTTGCCAGGGAAATGTTTAACTCAAGACACAGAAAGTATCCAGTGTCCATCTTCATGCAACATGGAGGATCTATATCCTGTTCTGTGTGACTTTTCCACATAGAGGCTTTACAACTTTCTTCCCTACTAGAATAAGGCTGATCCCACAGAAAAGAAACAGATGAAAAGTGTCTGTGGTACGTATCCAGGGAGGTCCATCACCTTTCCTAGGGAAAAAATATTCCAAGAAGTATTTGGGGTCAGTATGTATCAAATATGTCCAAACATAATCACAACACAATTTTAGAGGGAAGCATTTTGCAAATACTAAGGCTGAGCCTTCTATGCTATTTCTCTGATTACTGGAAGCATCAGGTGGCCTTAAGAGGGAGGAGGGGGAGCATAAGACAAGGGAGAAAGTATGTCTTATATGGTGGCAAATATGGTAGCATACTTCATGAATTCCAAAATGCACCTCTTTTAATATCTCTGAAATCAGAGTGCCTTACAGGCAATGGTATCTTTTTTTTTTTTATGTGATTTTATTTTATTTTATTTTTTTCATTTATTTTTATTAGTTGGAGGCTAATTACTTTACATCATTGCAGTGGTTTTTGTCATACATTGAAATGAATTAGCCATGGATTTACATGTGTTCCCCATCCCGGTCCCCCCTCCCACCTCCCTCTCCACCCGATCCCTCTGGGTCTTCCCAGTGCACCAGGCCCGAGCACTTGTCTCATGCACCCAACCTGGGCTGGTGATCTGTTTCACCCTAGATAATATACGTGTTTCGATGCTGTTCTCTTGAAACATCCCACCCTCGCCTTCTCCCAGAGTCCACAAGTCTGCTCTATACATCGGAGTCTCTTTTTCTGTTTTGCATATAGGGTTATTGTTACCATCTTTCTAAATTCCATATATATGTGTTAGTATACTATAATGGTCCCTATCCCTCTGGCTTACTTCGCTCTGTATAATGGGCTCCAGTTTCATCCATCTCATTAGAACTGATTCAAATGAATCCTTTTTAATGGCTGAGTGATATTCCATGGTGTATATGTACCACAGCTTCCTCATCCATTCGTCTGCTGATGGGCATCTAGGTTGCTTCCATGTCCTGGCTATTATAAACAGTGCTGCGATGAACATTGGGGTGCACGTGTCTCTTTCAGATCTGGTTTCAGGCAATGGTATCTTAATTTTTAATAGGTGCATTGGTTTTATTTCTTAGCAAGACATAAAATACTGGTGTTTTACAATAGACAGTGTCTTAGATTGGTTGAAATATCATTAGGGTCCTGAAATAAGATCAAAACAATGTAAACAAGACTCACTGAGGATGATATATATTGAATCAATAACTTTCCATTACTACAGTTTGGGTGAAAGAGGGGAAAAGTTGATATAGGGGTTATTTGGAAAAAAGTTAACTGGCTAAAAGTTTAATTAGATCACCACCATCCTTACCCATTTATTAAGCATCTACAGAGGGCATCTTCCTAATAGGAAGTTCAAGTTAGCATATTATTTCTGTAATATAAGATTAGTAAGCTAACCCGTTTAATCAAGTGTGTATACTCTACGGTAGGTTGTGGTTTTCAGTAACGGAACATGTAAAAATCATCCAGGATAATGTATTTAGTAAAGCTCATGGTCAGGAAATGCCACCTTTTCTTGCTCAAAGATTGATTTTAGCAATGCATGTGGCCTCTCCATGGTCCATGGGTGGCCTATGGTAGTAAAAAAGAGCTCACTGCTAGGAGTGGCTACAGCTACTCTCTGCTTGGAAACGTGACAACTGCTCTGAGTCATATCTTTCCTATTTGTTTAATATGAATATTAGGCTTCATTGATAGTGAAAGAAAGTGAAGTCGTTCAGTCGTGTCCGACTCTTTGTGACCCAGTGGACTGTAGCCTACCAGGCTCCTCCGTCCATGGGATTTTCCAGGCAAGAATACTGGAGTGGGTTGCCATTTCCTTTCTCAGGAGATCTCCCCTACCCAGGGATTGAACCTGGGTCTCTCGAATTGTAGGCAGACGCTTTACTGTCTGAGCCACTTTTCAAACCTCTTGTCCATGGAATCCTTCTTTTAAGAAAAGCATGGTGAGACTATCTAAAATTCAGACTCAGTGGAGATGGACCTGCTCTGGCCAAGGTGATGGGGCACCCAGATCCCACCTCCTTCCCCCAAGCCCTGGGCCATAAGCAGTTCCAAGGAACTTGGGGCCCAGTCTGACAACCATTGAAAGAGATCATCCCTAAGTGGATGAGTATTGATGTACATTTAAAGTGTTCACTCTGCCCATGGTTAAGATGTCTGTAATTTGCTTTTAACCACTTTAGCATAGACAGTGTGATATTTTATATACACAGATTGGTTTAAACTGCAGTTGTAGGGAACTCCATTGCTCTAACTGGGAGTTCATCTTCCTGGGGTGGTTAGGTGATAAAATATCACTAAGACCGCATTCTCCAGGCTGCTGCTTCAAGTGTTTTCTGTTAGCCTCATCTCCACCAATGCCTGAGACTTTAATGTTTGCAGAAAAAATAGGTGAGATAATGAAATGAATGTTAGAAATGGCTTCTCTTGATGAAGGTGGAAGAGGTTAAGATATGTAGAGTGGTTGAAATATTTGCGAGAACTTTCCCACACTGCTGAACACAATGTAAGAATCTGATGCCTATAGCTTGCATCTTTAGATTCAGAGCTCAGAAGAGTGATCCCCAGATGGGCCTGTCTCCAGCCATTGATAATGAGGAATTCCAGCTTACAGCTGCCAGCCTGGGGCAACAGAATCCCCACAGGAATCTTTTATGCAAACTGGCAGTCACCCAGAGCACTTAAAGGGACAAGAGGTGAGGCTTCATCCAGCTCACAGACAGACTCTGCAGATGGTTTCTGCTTGTTTGCTAACAAATGTGTGTTAACAAAGTGGCAGAGTTGGGTTGGGACTAACTTTCACCTTAACCTGGTGGTGATATTGTGGAACAGTGACTGCCTCTCCCCCTACCCCCACCAACTGCCATGTTCACCCCAAACCCCAAGATTCAGCCTAGGTTGTTGCCACACTTTCATCCTTACCACAAACTTCTGAGGTTCAGGCTGTCATCTTCATTTTATTCACAAAGAAACTGAGCCTCACAGAGGTTAGTTGACATACTCAGTGTCACTCAAACAGTTCAAGGAAAAGCCAAGATTCCAGATCCACATTCCCTGACCTTAGGGACAGACTTTTTCACTCTATCAAACTCCTCTCCAAAGAGCTCTTTTCACTTGACTAAAGTTAACTCTAACCACTCTCACTTTCTCTAAACCTGCTCTAAAATTGCAAAATCACACCTTGAGAATGACCTTGGAAAAGGGGCACACAAATGGATAATTCTAGAATAGGTGTCAAAAGAACACTGAAAAATGAGCCATTAATTAACTGGCTTGATGCTTTTTCATCTTTAAGGCGTCACTCAAAAAACCAGGAACCTAAATGGGTTTTTTAACAGGAAATATTGACAGAGATCCACAGCAGCCTATGAACATGACAAGTATCCAGTTGTTAACATACACACAAAGGGAATGTCGGCAGAGTGCTTTGTAAATGATTAGAGATGATTCATTAATATAATTGTAGGGCGGTGATATCTGAGTGACAAATTATAGACTAAACTAGAGCCATAGGAAAATTCCTTATAATTTTAATTTCATAGAAATGTATAGACCTCTAGCTCTCTGTTTTTATTCCATTGGTGGGAGAATTGTGTCATGTTCTCGTTTCTTTCAGTGTCCTGCTCTGTTTGAACACAAACAAAATACCTTCTCAATGACTTGATTTTTCCATCTGCAAATTGAGCATCGTATTTACTACTCAAAATGAGTTTGGAATATGAGCTACATTTTTATGAAAGAGTAAATAAACACAGAAATCAATGACCTTGG